TGAGTCTACCACCTTTTAAAGAAATGGCTTGGGAAGCCCACCTACTTCCATGCATCTCATTGGCCAGAATTGTGTCACACAGTCTCTTTAAGCTGTCAGGAAGCCTAGGAAATCAATCTGTTTTATTTGGACACATTGCTAAGTCAAAATCAGGCAGTGCAGTTTAGAGGTTAAATATAGCCTATGGAGCCACATGGCCTGGGTATAAAACCCTGCTCCTTTATTTAACTAGCTGTGTGACCTAGTCAAGTTACCTCACTATTCTGTGCCTCAGTTTTCTCATCTGTAAACTAAGCACAGTAACAGAACCTTTCTTACAGGGTTCTTGCGAGGATTAAATGAGTTAATATGAGTAGAGTTTGAAGAGTCTTTAATACATAGAAAGTATTGTACAAGTGCTTATTCTTCTTATTTTCATTATTGACAAAAAGAAGAATGGATATTGAACAAGCAACTCACAGTACCTGCCACAGATGCGCTGCCCACTCCATAGTTCGGCTGCCCTGGCTGCTGCGCTCCCGGGAGACAGCGCCCTGCTGCACCTGAGAACTGGTGGCTCCCCGGGAGGCTAGAGCACCAAAACCCTGACCTACCAGGAGTGGTGAGACCCACGACCATCAGCCTCTTTCCTCATTTCCTGGGGACTGAGGGCAACCGAAACTTCCACACGTCCAAGCCACTTGGGCACTGCTGGCAACTGACGATGCGCATCCATTTTAGACATGAATCATCAGGACTCCTTCTGTCTCAAGTGGCAGTAAACCCGACTCCAGCTGGCCCAAGCAAAACTGGAAATGCACCCTTCCAATCGCTGAAGAGCCAATGAGTGTACTGAAGGCCTAACATGGCCGAGGCCTTAAATGGTAGCACCCGGTCCCTCTGTTTCTCAGCTGTAATCACTTGCTGTTGGCTCCATTCTCAGGTTCAGGCAGGCAGCAGGTGTCTTTCAGGCTTTGTGGTCACCTACGTGAACTTCTCAACATCCTCTCTATGTTAGGCTAATTCCCCACATTTGACTCTCCGAAGGAGAAACAAGAAATATGCTTTTCCAGCCTCTCTTATAGCAGGAGCACAGGTGTATAACCAAGGCTCTGCCAAAGACCTGAATTTAGAAGACAGCAACACAAGGAGTCAAGGGGTTATGAAAGCCATCTTCCATCAAAGTTAATGGCAGAAGGGTCCAGTCTGCAGAGACAGCAGTGACCATAGCCCTGAAATGAGACTTAGACATTATTTCTGGTTTTGGAGTCTCCAAGTCTTTCACGGAGAGCCTGTGGGCCTCTGAATATCCTTTAATAGACTCATTTTCTTCTGAAACTAGTAGGAGTGTTGAATCAGCAGAGGTGACATTACACCCAAATCTTAGTGACTCTGGCTTATCAAGGTTTATTTTCCATTCCTGTTCCACGGCCAGCACAGGGCAGCTGCAGTCCTGTAACATGCTGTCTTCCCTCTAAGACTCAGGCCAACCTTTCTTGGGGGCATCGTGGGTCTCAGAGCAAAGGGAAAACATCAAAGCAGTGAACCACAAGCTGGCTCTTCACACTTGTGCTTGGAAGTGATGCGTGTCACTTCTGTCCATGTTCAGTTGGAGAAAGCAAGTCATTCAGTCGAGCCTATCAGTGGGGCGATGGTGTAAAGAATCCTCCGTGGGAAAGAGCAGCAAATATTTTGGACAAGAAGGTTCTGCTGTAGGCAACTAAGAGCCTCATCTAATACAATGCAATAGTAAGATGGCAGCAGAACCTCCAGCCTCTGGGTTACCTCACGTTCAGTCCAGGGTGAACAAAGAAATGTCTCTTCTCAGAAATTCATGCAAAAGGCCTAGGATTAGTTCTAACTGGGACTGACTGACCTGGCTTGAGTCATCTCTAACCTGGAACAGATTCATTCAAGACATATTTATTGAGTGCTTACTATGGACTAGGCACTACTTAGGTTCTGTGGAATTTAGCAATAAACAAAACCAAATTCATGCCTCCATGGAACTTGCATTCTAGTTGAGAATGATGAGGACAATCAACAAAATAAGTAAATATCTAGAAAATTAGATGGCTATAAGTGCTGTAGAAAAAAATTAAGCAGGGAAGAGGGATACTGAGCTCCAGGATGAAGGGGAAAGAAAAATAGCAATTTTGAATAGGGCAGTCAGGAAAGGCCGCGCTGAGAAGATATTTGGGAAAATACCTGGGCAAGGTAAGAGGGCAAGCAATGAGGTGACCTAGGGAAAAAGCAAAGGCCCTGAGGCAGAAGAGGCCTACTGTGTTTGAAGAACAGCAAGGGGGCAACTTTTGTCTTCTAAAGGCAATGGAATAGGATATATGATCAAAGACGTAATAAATGGGAGATCAAATCATGTAGGGCCTTGCAGGCCCTGTAAAGCTTTGGCTTTCATTCTAGTTAAGGCGAGGAGTGACTGAAGGGTTTTGAGTAGAGGAGTGACATGATCTAACTAAGGTCTTAAAAGGATCACTCATCCTACTGTGTGGAGCATAGTCTGGGAAAAAAGGGAAGAAGCTGGAAGGCCAGGATATGAGATTCTTGGCAATGATCCAGACAAAAAGTCATGATGGCTTTGATTAGTATGGTAGCAGGGGAGATGAAAGAAAGTGATTAGATTCTAGATAGATCTTGAAGGTGTACCCAATAGCACTTGCTAGTGAAATTAGATTTGGAGGGTAGGGGAAAAAAGAATCAGGTATGATTTCTTCCATTTTCTTTCTACATTTTAGGACTAAATAACTGGAAAGATAAAGTTTCCATTATCTGAGATAAGGAAAATAAGGGAGACAGAGAAAGGAGAGGGGGTGGAGATGGAAGTTTAGATACAGACTTAATCGGATTGAGATATCTATTAGACACGTAAATGGAGATGTTTAGTAGGCACATTTGGAGTTTCGAGAAAAAGTATGGACTAGAGATATAACTTTGGAAGTCATGTAGGCTACAGATGGTATTTAAAGCCATTAGATTGAATGAGGTCACCAGAGTGGAGAGAACAGGGAAGTCTAAGAGCTGAGGCCTGCAGTACACCCAGGTTTAGAGATCAGAGACGAGATCCAGCAAAGGTAACTGAGAAGGGGTGGCTGGTAAGGCAGGAAACAAGAATCAGGAGAGGGCGGTACCCTACAAGCTGGGAGGGGAAAGTGCTTCCAAAAGGAGAGAAACAGGAGAGAGCGCCTATAGACACATTTTCGAAGAGTTTTGCCATAAAGGAGAGTAGAGAAATGGGAGCAGTTGAGGCGGAAATGAGATTAAGAGATTATTTTTTTAATGATGAGAGAAATTACAGCATGTTGGCTTGCTGATGGGGAATGAGCCAACAGATAAAGTAAATAATGATGTAGGAGAAAGTGGTGGGGGGAGTGCTGGAGCGCTTCCCTTGAGTAGGCAAGAGCAGCTAGAGGGCTGGGTTTCAACAGCAGTGCAGACAATTTATCTAGGGCAGGATTTCTCAGCCATGGCACTCCTGACATTTGCAATCCAATTATTTTTTGTTTTGGATGGCTATTCTGTGTACTTAAGAATATTTCACTGCATCCCTGGTCTCTACACACTAGATGCCAACAGCATACTAACCCCATGACCCCAGTCATGACAGTCCAAAGCATCTCCAGACATCACCTAATAGTCCCCAAGATTTTGTCCCCCCACGGAACATTTTGGGTTGTCACAACTCAGGGAATGGTGTTATCGGCATCTAGTGAGTAAAGGCCAGGGATGCTGTGAAACATCCTACAACACACACGACAGCCCCCATGACAAAGAGTTACCCAGTCCCTAATGTCAACAGGGCTGTAGTTAAGAAGCCCTGATTTAGAGGCAGAGTCCTGGTCCAGATCTATGAGGGCACAGATGTAGGTAAGTGAGCAGATGTGGAGGGTACCTGTGGAAGTTCTCTTCTGATTGCTTCCATTTATTTCACTGAAATAAGGAAGCAAGGTCATTAGCTATAGGTGAGGTTGGGGAAGGAGGTACAGGAAGTTTAGAAGAGAAGACTGAAAACTGTCCTTTAGGAGAGGTGGAAAATGAATGGACAGGGAGGGTAGACAGGATTCTGGGCTGCATTAAGGACACACTTGACATACTTAGTCAAGAACTGAATGTGAAACCAGTAGGCCTGAATATGTTCTTCCCATATTAAGGGGCAGAGTAGGGAGAGAGTTAGATTTAACAGGTTGTGGTTTTGCCAACAAGCACAAGCAACAAAGGGGCAAAGGAGTGATGAAAATGACCACAGAACTGGAGCTGGATAAGACAGAGGGATGTAAGCGACTAGGAAAAGGTAGGTGGGCAAAAGCAACAAATACCCACTCTAACAGGCCAGTTTCAAATGTTCTGATGAGCTGTAAAAGGGGAAAAATACAGTAAACTCTGCCATACAAAGGTAACCACTCACTTTTCTTAGTAAATACTTGAATATACACTGAAAGAGTGCAATTGTTTCTACACGAAGTCAGGTCAAGGGAGCTTCCTAAGTCGGTTCAGTGTTTGGGGGCTGCAGTTTCTTTGGCTGAGTTACCCTCCATCAGTGAAGCCAAATGCTGGGGAAGCCACACTAAACATCTGAGAAACCAGAGGACTCAAAAAGTTTGAGGTGACTTCTGGTCTTTACTTGCTAGTTTGTCTCTGTATTTGTGTGGTAGTTCAGATGATTATGGGCAGACCTGGGGGTGACAGGCCTCAAAAATTTGACTGAACAGACTGAACTGCCAGGCGAAACTGTGGCCATACTACCCACGATGCTGGTAGTATCAAGGTCAAAGTCATCAACAGTGATTTCTGTCAGGCTCTGGGTTTCTGCTTTTGAGGATTTCATTTAAAAATTAAAAAAGACAAAAAAGATATCCATTTCCTCGCTGGCATGCATACAGAATATTACAATAGCCCAAGAGACCAATGGCACTCTTATGGGAACAACATGTAGCCTTTATGGACAGGGCCTCTCAAAATCACTCAGGTATCAGAAGACTAAGCATGAGCCCAGCCCTACCACTCACCAGCGGAATGGTCTTGGCAAGGCATTCAAATCCTTCACCTTCAACTTCTTCAGCTGAAAAAAATGGAGACAGTAATACTTACTGTGGCTACCTCATAGGAATGTGTGTGAAAGTGCTTTGTAAGCCATATCGCACTTTACTAATTAATAGAGATTGTGACTACACCTTGAGGGTAGCAGGGGAGTGGAACAAACGTCTCCCTCTTTATCAGAATGGAGAAAAGAAACAAGAGTTTTTCGCAAAAGGCAGAATCCCATGTTGCATGCACCTGAGGTGCACCAGTCACCTTCCTATTTGGAGTAGAAGCGGGCCAAAGCGTGCAGTTGTGGGACCCACCCTTAGAGCACGGGCAGACAAAAAGCTTGAGGAAAGGCAAAGCATTCCCAAGAGACAAGCCAAAACAAAACTGGTGGGTGTCATTTTAGGCCCAATTCTCAGTGGCCTTGTTTTGAACTAACAAGAGTTTGGAAACAGGTGAAATACACTGATTACTGGGCATCATAGGAGTCATTATGGCTCACTGACTAGCAGGAAACATGGAGCTTTCAGGAATTCATCCTCCAGTTGGTGGCTGTCCACTCATGGTCATCTCATAGCTCCACAATCTAAGTGTCATGTGCTCAAGAGGCCTCTTGAAATGTATCAACCAAAAGGCATTCTAGAAGGGGCCCATGATGAATATTACAGGGAGCTAACTAGGATATAGGAAACCTAGTACTGGAGAACCCGAGCCGGCCTGCCTCTATTTCTGTGGAAAAATTTACATGGCAAATAAATGCCTCCAATTTTCCCAACCCGGAAATCAGAGACAACATTTAGATCCAGAGGACAAAGTGGAGGTGTCTACTCCAACCTATACATTTCACAAAGGGCAATACAGAGGCCTGGGAGGTAAACTGCATTCAAGAATACACAGCTAGTGAGTAGCAAGGCACGACTACAATCCTGATCACCGCACCCAGATTAGTGTGCCTTCCACCCACCTGTTTCTTCCAGGGGCCTTCCCAGGAAGACACGAGTTGGCTGAAGGGGTTGCTTTCATACAATCAGTGTCACTCCTCCATCATTCTGCCAGCCTCAGAGGAAGAGGCCAGGGAAAAGACAGCTGCAGCCTTCAGCCATGTCCAACTCAGCACTTAAGAGGCCCCCCAAATGGTTTTAAGTGGGTTTTCAAGCTTGCGGATGGCGAGCGATCCTAGGGTGGTGACGAAGATTCATCCAGAAGCACTGGGGAGGACAAATGGCACCGACAATGAAAACCAAGATATGAGACCATACAGGCGCCCTTCGTAATGAGGGTCCCAGCCCCTTATCTGGACTACAGTCCTGGAAGCACAGCGGGAGGTTCATAGGCTGCGACCCGCACTCTCGCGGGCCCACGCTGGGTTTAACGCTCTGCTCTCACGGTTTTGGAATTCTTACTAATTTATGTTCAAAGAACCAGGCATTTTCATTTTGCATTGGGCCCCTGAAATCTTGTGGCCGGTCCTGTTTCATCCCTCCCCACCCCGTGGCCATACAGGGGCGACCTGTCTACATAGGCCCTCACCCCTCCCCCACCCCCTCAAATCAGATCAAACAGAAGCGCCGTGAATTTTAGCCCCTCTGGGCCTTCGGAAGGGGAGGAATGCTGTGGAAAAGGCTAGAGAAGCCTATACCCTCTGGCAAGAGGCCGACTGACCAGCTGCCTTTTCCAACCCTGGCAAAATAAAGGCCAATATAAACATGACCCCCTCCCCGGCTCACCCTCAAACCCCGCGCTGCCTGAATCTCTGGCTCCTAGTGGTGCTCCTGTGCGCCCTGCTCCGGACTCAAGGCCTCCGACGCTGCCGGAAGCGGCTCAGTGTGCCCGTGAGGAAAATGGGGAAGTGCGGGTCCCTCACGAGCTGAGGGAAGCTGCCAGAAGGGGCCGTGCCAGGGGCACTGTCCGCTTCCGCCCGCTGGGCCGACCTCGCCGACGCCCCGGCTGCGGGAAAACTTGGGGACAGGTGAATAAGGGACGGCACTCTCGCCAGGAGGGTAACCCACGCTCCAGCCTTGCCCTGTTCTCAGGGGCGACGTAACCGGCGGGCAGGGAGAGCAACCCTGTCCCAGGACCCGCCGCGAACACCAAATCTCACAGGCAGCGCCGGGCCACGGCAGGGGTGGAGCTACGGAGAAGGGGCGGGGCTTCAGCCGAGGCTCTGTTTCTCTTGAGACACTATGAATAAACTAACTATGCGGAATCGCAACATGAGGGTTCCATAGTGTAGTGGTTATCACGTCTGCTTTACACGCAGAAGGTCCTGGGTTCGAGCCCCAGTGGAACCAGGTCAAAAAGACCGCTGTTTTTAAACACACCTTTCTTATTAAGCCTGGATGAAAAGTAGGGACGAGGTTCTTTTCTTTCCCCATTAAAAATTTTTTAAAATTGTATTTTTCTACTGTTTGGCGTGTTTTTATCGCAGAAGCGTAATGACCGATACCCTCTCCTCCTATCCCCGCCGCCCTCGCCCGACCTGGGAAACAGCAGAGGTGGGGGGCCCGGCCGTGTCGTAGTCCCGAGGGCACACTCGCCCCACCCGGGTCCTACCCTTACCTCTCCTCGGGTGCTCCCGGGCGGCCTCGGGAAATCTGGCGCTCATTGGAACCAAGATCACTTGGCTCAGCCCTTTGCCTACAAACCCGAGCAGGACGGCCCCGCAAGCCTCCAACTAAAATATGGCAATACAGCAGCACTTTGATTGCAATTGAATTATTAAAAGTTTATTATTACCATTATTACTAAAGCTTTAACTTTTCATTAAACTTTAAAATACGGAGCAGAGAAAAAAATAGTCCTTTTCTTCGTAATACAGCAGCAGTAGGGTTTGTTGAATAGACTTCGTCTGTTTAATGAAGCCTCTAGCTTGTAGACACCCCCAAAATGCTGATTGAATGACTAAACATTCCTGTAGTTCCTTTTTGTTCCTGTATTGCTTTGGGAGGTTATTATTCTCTTTCTAATATTGGCCTTTTTCATCTTTGACAAGAGGAATGAAGTAAAGGTGTCTGGGACCCTGGGGGTTGAGGAGAGATAGGGGTAGCCAAGAATTTAAAAGGGAAGGGAAAACTCAGTATTTTTCTCTGCATTTTTCCACATAGTTTTGCTCATACAGTGTGTAAATTTGTATCCTTATCTAATTCAAGGGTATAACACGTGATTGTTATTATAATCACTTCATTAACTTTTTTTTAACCATCTTAACCATTTTTAAGTGTGTAGTTCAGAAATGCTAAGTATATTCACACTGTTTTGAGAAAGATTTCCAGAACTTTCTCATCTTGGAAAACTGAAACTCTGTATCCATTAAACAACTACTCTTTTCTCCAATCAACTTTATTCTTAATGGCTGTATAATAGTGGCTAATTATGTAAAGCACTATTCTAAGTATTTATACATATATCATTCCATTTAAGCTTCAAACTAACTCTATGAAGTAGGCATTATTATCACCATCTTACAGATGAGAAAATCGAGGCACGGAGACCTTAAGTAAATTTCCCAAGGTCACATAACAACTGGTTGAGCTGGGATTTGCATCCATTCTGGCTTGGGAATCTGTGCTCTTAACCCTGCCTGCTGCCCTGCCTGAACCCCCTAAGCTTGGCCATGTAGATTGTTTGCAGTATTTTGTTGTTATAAATAACAGCAATGTAAATATTTGTGTATAACTATCACCCCCCTTCCTGCCAAAATTAGTATTTAGCATTTTCCTGAGTGAATAGGTGTGATTTCTGGGAGGGGAATCCATGTCATTTTCATATAATTTGAGAATGTTAGTGCTTATTTGGCAGGAAATTGCTCAAGGTCACCCCTAGAAGATGATGGCAGAGAAAGGATTAAGACCTGGGTCTTCTGATTCTAGTTTCTATTTTCCTCCACTGCTTCCCTTACATTTAAAGATAGAATAAAGCCAATATCTTCCTTTGCTAAACCGACCTCAGTTGACATTAGATTCTTCTCTGAGACTTCCTTGTTGAGGCAGGTAACTATGTGGGTTAACTTAGCGGGGCTCAGCCAAAGCCCTAAGAACTAAATGGAATAAGATGCTTAATGAGGCCAGTGCTCAAGTTAAGCTCCTGTTCCAAAGGAAGCTCTCCACTTCGATAAGGAAGAGCAGCAGCCAAGGACAAGGGGAGAATGCCACGCAAGATAGAAGGCTTCTTGTTTTTACTTCTCTTTGGCTATGAAGGTATGTGCTATCAAACCATTAGCACTCATTAAATACTTAATAATACAATTGAATTAATCATATAGCTGATTAGTGGAAATGCAACTGGAATAATTATTATTCATGAGCAAGGCATGCTAATTAATTAATATGTGTTATTAATGAACAACAGTTGTCTTTGTGTGATGCGGTCCTCTTTGTCTCACCACTGGCTTTCTGGTTCCGTGAGGAGCCTTCAAAAATTCAAAGGGTGCTTAAAATGGGACAGAAAGCAGGGTCTCAGAAATTGTGGAAAATCGCTATAAATTGTAACAATTAATAAGAAAGTGTGGTGTATTCTTGAAGGTTTTTAGGCATCAAAGTTAGAGTGATTATAGAATTTAATCTTCCAAAGCAGGACACTATTGAGAGGGGAAGAAGATGCTATTAATAATTCTGCTGGGACAACAGGTGTAAACCAGGCCGGTCCCAGGCAAATCAGGATGTGAGGTCACCCTAGTTTAAATATGGATTAACATAACATACCAAATACCACTGGACACTAATAGAAATAATCCAACTGAGAGTAAGGAATCCCCAATGACTCCATACACTCAATCATTTTTTAATTTCTAAATATAGCCCCAGCAGGAGTGAAATGCTTAATAAATAAGGAGAAATTAAAGGCAAATCTCTAAAATGTCATCCAATTCAACTTTTAAATTCTCTCTCAATCTTTGAAATAATGTTCTTTCATGCCTCTCTCAACTCTTAAGAACCCATCAACTCAGAATTCCTTTTAAGGTTCATTCTGGACATCAGGAATTGGCTCTTTGTGTTCATTGTGTGTTTATGTGCATTACAGAAAATAAATAAAAAGGGCAGGAAGGAGGCGGCCTTTCCACTCTGCCCATGACCTTGTAGATAGACATGACGAAAATCACACAGAGTCAGAATTCCTGGTTTAAATCATTTCCTGCTCTACTCCTCTACTCTCTTATTATATTTTACTGGTAGAATACACACTTTCATGATTCCCCAATCACAACCTTTGTTATTTAGTCACAGTTCTCAATATTTAGAAAGACCTGGAAAAATATAACCCCAGGGTCATTTTGCAAACCTTCAAGATATATTTCTAAGTAGGGATCATTTTGACCAATTGTCTGTTTTTTTTTTCCCCCTTGCAGTTAAGAGTCAGCAACTTGTCCCAGAAACTCTTAATACTTCAAGATGCTTTGAGGGGGGTTGTTGTTTTCCCTTTACTCCTTGTTCTTTCCTCAGCAAGAAAATCTAAACAAAGCTTTTTAAGACTGAGATCCCAATTCCCTTGGTTCTCAGACATCCACAGGGTTCCCCCTCAGATTTCTCTTATTCATGATTGGCAATGAGATTCATTAGTTCATTGATTCATTCAAGAATCCATTTATATCAGTTCAAGAATCTATTTCTGAGTTCCTGCTACGAGCCAAAAGTTGTGTAAGAACTTGACACATTGGGCAGAACTTTGCTTTCACCGTGCTGACTTGAACAACCCTGCCCTGTGGCCCCTAAACGGGAATAAGCCCTAGAAAAGGTTATCAGGCCACTTTTAAATGAGACCCACGCAGTCAAGGGATAACTAATAAAGACACGCTGTCACCAAGCACAGAGCACAGCACTCTTTCCTGTTCTATAGTTTATCAGTCTTTGTGCATGGCTGGGGGGCTCCAAAAATTTCCACGAAGAGCAGAGAATCCATCTGTGTGGGTGGAATGGAATGTGGTCCAGCAGGTAGGCTTGAGACACTTCTCTTACCCACCTAACCCAGGCCTTCCATCCTCACGGGGCATAATGGGAAAGCCGCCAGCCAAAACCAGCCAGCGTGGCTTGGCGACCTCTGTGTGCTCTACCCTGAGCTAGAGGGATAGACCAGGACACAGAGAAAAAATGCAGGACACAATTGCTGCACTTAATCAGCTTACAATCCAGATAGAGAAATAAGGCCAATGCATAGGGGAAAGATGTATTCTACACAACTGGCAACCTGAAGACAAAGGTTCTTTGTCTAATTTACTCTTTGCTCTTTCTGTTCCACAGTGGCAACGGCTCTTTATTAGAATGAAATAAGGTAGATGGATTGACTCCACTTATGCATTGGATGAAGGGTCATTTGGGAATACACAATCATAGTAAAGCACTACCTATGTCTTTTAACTGAGGCAGGCTTCTATTTATCTTGCATTGTACATTTTGGATTCAGAGCCGATGATGACTTTTAAAACATCCATCTTATTAAATTATATTGTTCCATTGCTTGGTCATGGCTATTATATAAAAACAAGCCAAAAAATCATCAAGTCTCATTTTGTTGTCCCTCTGCAAGTGTGTCAACCATCAGAGATAGCAGATTTTTTTTTTAAAGCAGCTTTATGGAGGTGTAATTTACATACCATTAAATTCACCCACATTAAAGTGTGCAATTCAGTGGTTTTTAGTATATTTACAGATTTGCAGAGCACACAATCTAATTTTAGAACATTTTTCGTCATCTCGGAAAGAAACCGGTAGACATTAATTACTCACTCCTAATTGCCCCCTCCCCGCATCCACTGGCAACTACTGATCTACTTTGTTTCTTATAGATTTGCCTTTTCCGGACATTTCATTCAAACAGAATCATACAACATATGGTCTTTTGTCTTTCACTTAGCATATGTTTTTGAGATTCATCCATGTTGAAGCATGTACAGATAACAGATTTACCCATGAATATGGTGTTGCCTAAAATAGTAACACTTTCACACAAGAAGCAATTTCCTTCTTTCTTCTTTGCCAGAGGGACATTATTACAGCCTGCTGTCTCTCCTGTGTCTTGTTCTTGTTTCTCAAGTAGATTGGAAGCTAGTTATAGACAGTTTTTTATCATTCATAATTTTATGCTTTCCTTCTCGGCTTCACCTGTTTCCATG